GTTTTCTGAAATGTCAAACAAGCTTTAAGCGCTGCCATTTTTGTATTTGAGTACATGATTCTTGTTTTCAGGTTGCTGTATTTTCACAAAAGTTCATTCAATGATTTCGTTTAGATGTTAAGCAGAAATATATTTTTGAAAGTGCAGAGTCTCTGTATTGATGGTGGCTTCTTCCGCCTATTTTCCGATTATTTTGATCAAGAGCTGAAGTTCCACTTGAGTTAATTGCATCTCTGAAAGACGTCATGTACAGATGCTCGATAAGAGGAAGCTTTTGCGGACAAGTATTGGCATCCCTAGAAGTATTTATCCATCGTTATTCACAACTTTTGCTTCCATTCTAATGAGGTTGGTGGTTAATGAGTTTGAAAAAAATAAATCCATTTCAACCAGTAAATTTCAATCAGTCTCGTCTCTTGTCATATCAGTATATTCATTTTTAATTAGTAATCATCGACTGTTTAACTTACATCATTAGCCATGTTGTTATTATCATTTTTTAATAAATCAGCTGATCGGCTTTAGCAAGAAAAATTGAATATACCAATGGAAGCGAGCGCAGGACAATCAGAAAGTGAGCACTGAGAATTCATTTGCAATATTTTCTATCTTCTGGTGGTAACATTGAAGCCAAGTATTTTACTAAAGTTGTAAGTTACTTGCTTTTCAGAAGCGAGTGGAATGAGCAGTAGTGACTTTCGAAAGTATGGTAAACAAATGGTAGATTATATTGCGGATTACATAGAAAATATACAGAAGAAGCGCGTAGTTCCCGCAATTGAACCAGGATATTTGCGTGATTTGTTACCTGAAACAGCTCCTCAACATGCAGAAGTGTTTGAAAATATTCTTCGTGATTTCGACAAATATATCATGCCAGGAGTAAATCGTTTTCATATTTTGCAAATGATATCACAACGACTACTGCCAATCGTAAAGCGGCCAATCTTATGTTATCATACTGATTGACTCATCTTGTCTTAGTCACGTATGGCTAATTAAGAAAAGCATGATAGTTATATAATACTAGTGATTATCTATTTTTTGAGAGTGCGTTTTGTAATGAATTAAAAAAGGTTCTTATGTTGTAAATCATATGAGGCAAATTATAATAATAGTTATGTTGGAGAGATGAAATTTCACATAAGAAGGCTGAGAATATATATTTCAGGTCACCCACTGGCAACATCCTCGATTTCACGCTTATTTCCCTGCAGGAAATGCTTTCCCGAACCTTCTAGCTGACATGGTTTCCGATGCAATTGGAGCAGTTGGCTTTTCTTGGGTAAATTTAACTTTGAATGAATGATCTTTATTTCATTTCCATTCATAGTCGAAAACTTTAGATCATAACATTGCTGAAACTTTTCAGGTCTTATAATTAACATATAAATTAAACCGCAAAGCATTTCCTATGCACCGATTGCTATTTTTTGTTTTTGGTTGCAAAATATGATTTTTGCAGGCAGCATGTCCTGCGATGACGGAATTAGAAATAATTATGCTGGATTGGTTTGGCAGGATGATTGGCCTACCTGATGCTTTTTTACCTTTCACTGAGAATGGCAAGGGAGGTGGCGTTATACAAGTAAAAATGATACCTTCTTGTCTTATGGCATTCACTGTTAAGTAGCAGTTGCTGAACTGTTCTTTAGGTCGCAATACGAGAGAAGGAGGCATTTCATTTCTTTCCTTTGCTAGCATGGAAATGTTGAAGTAGCTCGTTGCTGTCCATTGCGATAAAACTTTAATTGATTGCCATTTACTTTAATTTGATTAATTAAATAACAGATTTGAGGGTTCTGCAAGTGAATGCAATTTCGTATCGTTGCTCGCTGCGCGATTCGAAGTGCTAAAAGAGCTCAAACAGCGATTCCCCTTTGTTGAAGAAGGGCTTTTGCTGTCCAAATTAGTCGCATACTGCTCGAAAGAAGTATCTTTTAATAATTAAAACTCGAAAACTTTCACGTTACTTTTATCACAAACAAATAATTCCCGTAGTATATTGCTAAAATTGCATTGTTGAATGCATTTTACGTGATACTGATGCTGTTTTATTCTAAAAATGTATGATCTTTAAGAACTTTGCATTATTTAAATGCTGGTGCATTAAACGTGATGAACTATAGGCTCAATCATCTGTTGAAAAAGCTTGCATGATTGGCATGGTTAAATTGAAAATTTTGGACACGGATTCAAAATTTCGCTTGCGTGGTGAAACATTACGAATTGCAGTTGAAGTAAATGACTAGATTACCAACTTTTTCTGTGAATCATATATGTGCTTTTTTTCTTTTTGAATGTAGAGGATTTGTCAATTATTAAGAAATAGTTTTTCCCTTCTTTAGATTCAGAAGTTGTAAATAATTAATTGATGTTATTTTTTCATGTACATATAATGCACTTTTCTGCAGGATGATCGTGACCTTGGTTTGATACCTTTTTTTGTTTCCACCACACTTGGCACTACGTCCTGTTGCTCATTTGATGTTCTTTCCGAAATCGGTCCAGTTTGTCAAGAAAATGATTTGTGGTTGCATGTAGATGGGGCATATGCTGGAAGTGCAATGATTTGTCCTGAATTCCGACCGCTAATGGATGGGATTGAATATGCCATGAGTTCCAATACTAACCCTAATAAATTCATGCTCATTAAATTTAGTTTTGATTATTAAAGTCATGATTTGCGATTCAAACATAGGACTGCAATACTAATTTAATAAAGCACCCGGAAATAAACTTCTCGCATAGTAAAACTGGGAAGTAAAGGTCATTTCACGTGTGATACGTGAAACAATACTGATGCATTTTACTAATTATCACTAAAATTTTGAAATTTATCAAAAATTAAGTACTCCGAATATACTATTTTCTTAATATTGAAGTGCATCTGAAATATGCTATGTAATGTTGGTTTTCCATGGATTATTGTCTATTTTTCCTAATTTCTACAGCAAATATACCTTTTTCCAAAAAAACTTCATCATATGAAAATCGTTGCTGATTGCAAGCATTTACATTTCCAAAAATATAGTATGACAAAGTATGCTATTCACAAAAGGTATGGCAGACTTGCACGAAAAGTATATCAGAGTTACAAGCTTGCTTTTCTTGCTCGAAACTGCGTATCTTTTCAAAATAGAGTTAACTATATGTTCATATATACCAGAAATAACAGATATATTAATATTCCAACAAATTACATCATTTAATCTACACGTGCAAGTTTGTTCTCTTACAATAAGTTCATCAAATTTAAAAGCACCGGCAGTTTTAACCTCTATGTCATTTCTTATTTTTGACAATTTTGGAATGTTCAATATGATGCCAACATGCACCAACAGCTCACTATGCACTGCAGGGTTTTTTGTTTCCTCTTGTGGATTAATTATGTTAAATGATTTTCCTGTGTTGTAAAATCCAACTGGAATGAATTTTTGATTTCTGTAATGGCCACTCAGTACTTGCAGGTAGTTCATAGGATTTGAAGTTTATTTAAGAGTAATCTTCGGATAGTTTGCAAATATAGAAATATAAGCTCAAGAAGGCATTTATATCATTAAAACACTATTAAGTGATCGCTAGGAGTTAGTTTAGTATACTATCCGTATGAATTTTTAATGATTACTGCGGGTTTTTTTATACAAATTGATAAAAGGAGTCATTGGCGGATATGTCAGCTCCTTACTGTAGAGATCACAGTGCAATATTTCTATGCCTTACTTAATGTCATAAGTGTTGATCAAGTTGGGGCTGTCGTTTAATTATTGTTTTTTATTTGGAAATATGAAATGAGTTATGGGAGACAAATTTTTCAGTGAAATGCACACGTATTGTAATTTTGTTGTGTTTTTATCACATTACTGTTTGCTTAATTAAATTGTTGAAATGCATAACTACTTTATTTAAGTGTTGTTAGGATGGTGAAAAGTTGACTGGTTTAATATTCGCGTGTAACAGTTATTGTACTTGAAAAGAACTGTTAGTTCTATTGTTTGTTCAGTTGTTGCACAATGTGCTGATTCAGTTTCGCTCAGTGTTTTGTGGTCAGCAACTTATCAGATTAACTCACATTCTTTGATGCAGTCATCCTTGATTGTTATAGAATAACTGATTATATATGTTTAATATTACGTCTGACTGGGACTTTTTGTGAAAAGTTTCAACTATTCACTTGGTGCTGTTGACTGTGTTCTTAGATTCTTATTGACACTCATATATTCATATTGCCTTTTGTTCCGATTTTGATTGAGATTTTTTGCGCCAATACTAAGAGAGGAAGTTGATTTCTTGCATATCATTGTTGGTTGATTATAATAGTTCAATTGCTGAAAAATGGATTGATTTGAATTTTAGTCTTTAATTTTTTCGAGCATGTTATTAATTAAAACGTGAATATCGTTACTTATTAAAAGTGGTTAACTTAGCACCTATTTTGATTGTTATGATTTTTCCTACCCTTTATCGTGCTAATAAGTTTAGTTACTGAATCATATTTTCACTGCTACTTTGTCAAGTTGTTTTAAATTTACTGTGGGCATGTTGGAGCAATTATTCACTAATGTGGTTATTTCTGAAAGTTGCTCTGATTCGATATTTTAATTGTTAGTTAAGGTGTTAAGATAATAGTTGTTATACCATAATATTTTGATATAATTATGTTAGTTACTGAGTGCACAATGACTGATTTAGTTTTATCATTAATTGTTATCGTCAGTTTAGTCGTTGAGTTATATTTTGATTTGGCACTAATTTTTTGTTTGTAGTCATCAAATCAATGTTGATTAAGCTAATTATTGATCAGTTGCAATACTGCAATACTAGCTGCTTGTGAGACTGACCTTTCTTTACCTGCATTTATAATACACAAAATACATTTTTAAACTTATTTATTACCAGTGAAAAAATTACTTTCCTTTCATTTTGACAAGTAAGGCAAACCTCAGCAGATTTACTGCTCACTCAAAGTGAATAATTGACTAAAGGCAGCTGCACATTTCAAGTGCAAACAAGAAAAACAGAGCTGGGATTTTGTATTTGTTGAGTCAAGAGTGTACCGAAAGTAAAATTGGTAAGTTGAACATTGCATCAAATTCTGAATCATACGTACTTGTAAACAAAGACTGTTGGTATCTCATAGTATGCTACAACATATCTCAGAAATTACATTCCATAATTGTAGTTTATTTTATTGAATGGTTATTATTTCAGATGTTTCGGTCAGCAAGACATAGAAGCAGAGTTCCTGCTCGAATTGAAACGAATTCTGTTAGGCTAATTACTGGGCAATCGCATCTGTGCAAACTATTATGAAAGATAATTGATTAATGGCGATTGCAGTGTAGAAAGTAATCATCAAAATACGGAAATTAGGGAATACTATGAGCAAAGTGTATTGCTAATACATGTTTACGAATAGAGTAAAGAACTTTAATCAAAGGATATTTTTCTTTAGAAGATCCAGATAACAAGCAGATTTCTTGCTCACTTGGAGACGGCTTGAAATTTCAGTTAAATGGAGTGAAAGCTGACCACACTAAAATTTTTCATTAGCACTGAATGGCAGTATTCAAAATGTATTTGGTGTTTGATGGATTGATTATTGATTGAGGCATGGAACTAATGAATGAATAGAACGATTCTGTAAATTTGCATGCGTACATAATAATTATTAATATTTTTTATCCCATAAAGCACATATACAAGATTTTAATCTCAATTAATTAATACCAATAATTTTTAAATGCTTTTGTTTTACATACTTAAATACATATCTTATATACACATCTATAATACATCATGATATACAACACATTTCACGCAATAACTTAATCATATAATGTAGAATTATAAAGTAGAAAATAGTGATGCATTGCTCTGCTGCTCTAGTAATCATCGATGCTTACCATTCCAAGCAACGATGATTATTCCAATTTCTGCACAATATTCATCGTACTAGATGCAGTCGCGTGCAAAATCATTTGTTGGCGCACAGCGACCACGTTGACAAGAACTTTGAGCTTCGAGTGTCGAGTAAGGGCTATTCGCTATTAATTTCTTATTTGATAATTAAATTTCTTCTTTTTTTCTTCTTAATGCGCGCAGGTTGTTGCTTTCATCAAATTCACTGTTTGATGGGTAGGTCTCCTGTATTTTCTCTTCACTGCTAATTTCTCTGGAGTTACCCAATCAAACACGGCATATAAACACTTTAAATTCATCCATCCATGTTACACCGGTGAACGGGTTACAAATCAAGCATTATTCGCCATCATTTCTTGGCAAATAATAATAATGATTTTACCGATCCATGCAGCTCATGTAGATAGGCATCAGTGAGGTTTCTTTTAATACTAAGAAGAACGGAGAATCGGTTACTTTTCATCCATTCTTCCATGTTATTTAAAGCTTTATTTCCTCACGTCGATGGTATTTCCAGCATAACATCAAGCAATTTCGTTGTTCTCTTCAGACTTCATCTAATCCACCATGTACTAAAATGTAATCAGTAAAAAAGACTTGACTGTGTAATAATAATACACAAAAAGTTAAATTGGTAACAGAACTACAAGAATTGGATGAAAGACAATTATCTTTAGAATGAAACTTACTACTGAGAAAGGAAGATTAAATGCAAAATCCATGTCTCCACAATCACTTTAAGTGTTTTGCTACCTGAAAATAATAATTATTGTACTGGCTGAACAAAACAAAAGCAAACGTTAAACATTTCGCCCTAATTTTTTAGATAATTACTACATAAATCTGAATCATGCAGAATAGTCATGGGGTACAGGGTGATCAGGAAGCTCAAATTAGCATACGAACTCGCAAGACACGTCTAAGCACAGCGCGCACTCACGCGTCACCTATCACAACCGGTAGCTAATCAGAGAATGAGAAACACTGAGAAATTTCGCTTCCTGACAAGCCTTCACTTTATTGGCAAATGTCCAATAAAGTGAAGGTTGGTCTAGAAGCGAAAAGGCGTATATGTATCTATATATATATTTCTTTGATATAATATGTCGTTATGAATTTATTCTATTTTTCAGTATCCAAAGCACTTTTAGGCGTGCGCTGGCTGAATATGGACGGGAATGAGTTACTGCTCATAATTCATGGTTCATTCGTAAATTAAGATAACGGTGTTTCATGGAAGCAAGATTATAACGCAATCTTGGGTCCTCCTATGGTTTAATATCGATTACCATATTGACGTTTGAAATGCAGAGTGGACAGTCAATATTTCTGAATTTTTAAAGATATGTTTGATTTATTTTACGGGATGCTCTAATTTCATTTCATGGCTGCGTGAAAATGGCTCTATTCGACTTCGTTTTATGCTGAATTATAACGGAGGGTTGGGTGATTGCCATACATTCCATTTCTCAGTAATTTGCGGGACTTCATTGTCTTTTTTTTCAGAAAAATCTTACATGTTTAATGCTGATGATTGAGTTTGATCTGTTGTGCACTATGTTAATCTCGCGATTGGAGTTTCAGTTTTTGCTCATTTATTTCAGCTTCCTTGATTGAACTTTATATCGTCGAAATGGGCAAGCGCAAGTCAAAACGCAAGGTGTCTTCGAAAATAAGAGTTATCACACCTCTTGAAACACAGTTCAATTGTCCTTTTTGCAATCACGAAAGAGTGTGTGAAGTGAAAATGTACGTTTTCTATTTCCTGTATTTTTTATAGCTTGTTCTCTGTTACATTATCATTGCAGATTAAGATTGACGTAAACGTCGTTTTTAACTGCAAAATTAAAATTGTTGTTGAAGATGAACTAGGGAAGCAAATTTGAGTAAGTTTCTAAAAATAGAAAAACGAAGATGGAATTTAATGCGTTATTAAGATTACTATAGTAAGAACAAACCAATTTCGAAATTCCTATATTTTAGTAAGTAAAGCGTGGAATTAATATAGATGAAATTGCAGTTATAATGCAAATAAAATGTATTTTGGAGTTTTGTGATCAAGAAGTTGCTGAATCTATCTGCTAACTGTAGTGGCTGTGTCTAGTAACTTTGAATCAGATGTTTCATTAAAATTGTCATTGTTTACTCCTTAATCTTTTCATTTAATAGCTAGAATTAGTTTTATTAGCGGAAGGAATGTTATTTGGAGTCATTTTAACCATATGTTAAGGAAGTGATTTGTAGCCGTCTACAATTTAGAGTTGAAAACGTTTTTTTTTAAATGATGAGATCAAAATGATCGAAGAGAAAATGCAGTGCAGTTTAGAATACGGCATCATCAATTACATTTCACCTTTTTTGCTGCTCATGGATACATTTGCTTGTTAATGAGAAATCCAAAGGACTTTCATAAAAACAAACATGATTTATACGAAAAATCTTGTAAAGATTATTAATTTTATTTTAGGGATCGTGAACGAAACGTTGGTTTTATCGCTTGCCGAGTATGTTTCGAGGATTTTCAAACGGGCATTAATTATCTATCTGAACCAGTTGATGTTTATTCTGATTGGATTGATGCATGTGAACAAGCGAATCGATAGTACAGCTGATGTAATTTACGTCTGAAATGTTTGTTCGATCACGACATGTTTTGAATGTCTAAAAATAAGGCAGTTCTGCTGTAATCTGTCAGATGGCACTTAAACGTTTCGATGTTTCGTAACATTTTTTCAGTTAAGTATAATCATAGTTTTATAGAATCCTGTTTGCTTTCTCGATGAGTGTGATGTAAATATAGGCGGCATAAATGCCGACGAAACTGTAGAATTTAGACTACGTTTTTTTTTCGAAAATGTTTTTTCTTAAGACCTATACATATATATGTATCTTTTTTTGGTTTGCATATTTTTCAAACTTCTTCGAAAGAGTTTGATGGGCTTTTCCCTGTGATGAGTTTATTTCTTGGTGTAAAAATTTCTTATACTATAACAAGAGTTGCACAGGAGCTTTATTATTTATATTCGCAATTTGGGAAGATAATCTGAAAAATAATAGAGGAAAAATCAATATCTTTGGGGAGAAAACTACTGCAGTTCTTAATTCTTAAAGTAATTTAAAGCGCATGAAGAGAAATAATGTTGCACAAATTAGATGCATTGCAGTATTACTTTTGGCAGTTTCATGAATATAGTTCTTGATAGACAAAAGCAATGAGAAGAAAACTGGGGAAATAATAATTTGGGCTGGTTTAGATTACAAGATCAATTTACTTGGAGAACTTGGTTTATCTGATACAATTGTTAAAATTCTGAATGTAGAAAATTCGTCAAACTTTCTTGTGTCGTTCAAAAAATTCTGCTATGAAAAATTTATGTTCTACTGAACACTTATTCTTACAACTGATACAATTCATTGACGGTCTCTAGTAAGCATCCAATACTCCAAGCTTGCGCACCACATGAATGATAACAAGTGTCACCATTTTCGTTAGTAAGCTCAGGGAGTGATGCCCAGGTTGATGACTTAAGGTAATTCCAGTATGCGCCCATTCTTGATCGAACAAATATTCGAGCTTTCTCATAAAATGTTCCATCGTTTTTATCTTCACTGATCGTTTTTGCAACAGAGAGCTTTGCTCGGTAGAAAAACATTGCTACCCATAGCCATTCCTGAAAGTTCCAGCTTTTTTCTCTGCAACTGATAAATTAGAAAAATGTAACAGTTATTTCAAACGAATATCTGAAATTAAGAGTTGAAATTCATAAGTCACTAATTCAGTCTCACTTTCCAAGAATAGAACATACCGGTCCTTGATGATAGCTCCAACCCTCAGCTATTTTCTTGTCCATACTGTCATTATCTTGGTCATAGAATGGACAGTAATTATAGTCGCTGTAAAGTAGAGAATTATTGCATAAGCTGCGAGGGAAAGAAGTATAGCATATGTGCTGGGTTTTTTCATAGTAGCCTTGTCTTGTAAAGCTAAGATATATTTGATATTTGCGAAAATTTATCGTATTCACTTTTTTGGAAGATGAACTTTGTATTTCTTATCTTGTATTATGGATCCTATGTACACAAATAATCGAAGATTGAGCGTTTGGCGTGAATTACCTGAAGATATCACTCAACTTCTGATATCTTACCTTGGATCAAGTGTTTTGATGCCCAGTGGACCAAGTAAATGTTTCTCTGCAACTTCCAGCGCACGCCATGCTTTATCTGATGCTAAAAGCCTTGGCGCCTGAAATGATGGAGATTTCATACATTCAATGACAATGTCTTGAATCCTTTGAAATTTTAAATATATTCATGTTAGTTCAGTAGATCTCAATTTGTAGAATATGGTTTTAAAACTAAGTGCGTCCACACTTCACGGAGCTTTTTCTATCGTACCACGGTTAATGCAATCGGAAAATTTGGCCTCAGTTGATAGTCAGCATAAGCTTGTGTGGAACCATATGTATCCTTAATTATACCACGTTGGTTTACATATTCTGAGGAATCGTTCTCCTCCACATAAAAGAAGTGCTCAAAGTTGTCTTTCATCATATCAGCCCATTCTTGCCACTTCCACATTTTTTCTCCATCTGTAATATGAATTAAATTTAGGACAATAAAATGAGTTAAGTGAATATATGTGTTTGGAACTTGTACAAAAGCACTGCTTACCATATGTGTGCACACCCTCAAATGGATAATTATTTTCCGAATGCAGCTGTCCTAATTTCTGTACTATAGCATAGCAAAGGCCTTGAAGTTCCACTGCTGCTCCATCTCGAGGTGTTGCAGGCCAACCTTTATTACCTGTTTTCTGGGAACTACCCATCTTGTCCATCCAAGTGCCGCAATTATATTCATTACCACCAAATATAAAACCCGTTTTGTGATCAACATACGCTTTAACATGAAAACCTGGAAGTATACTTAAGATAAACAAAAATTGTATTTTGAGCAATGATCATTTTTTGCAATTCTTATCACTAAGAAAAAGTTTATTAAAATGCTTTTTGAATCATGCGAAGATCGTGTCGAAATGATACTTGCCTGGTTCTTGCATGTGTTTATCAATGTTGAGACCTGCATTCCGTTCTACAAATTCAATTCCATTAAAGTGTTTCTCAAGTACTTCTTGCATTGTATCAGCAAGTATTTGCTCCTGAAGTAAACACATGCTAATACAATTACTTTTGCTTTGATGAAGAAAAACAGAATTGTAGTCTAATTTTTCAGATCAAAAAAATAACTTACAGTGAGGTTATGCCCATAAATTGTATCATCTTGAGAAAATATGCGAAGTACTTTGCACTTGAGAATCTCAGCACCTTCTGGAGCCATTTCAATGTACTTGACTATTGAATACAACCAAAACCAAACGGCATCACGAGCATTGTAACGGGCTCCATGTCCGCCATCCAGTAAATTTGGAATCAAACCATGTCTCAGTGCACCACCAAACGATAGGATCAAATTTCTGGTAACAGTATTATTTCTGCTATTTTTTGAATACTCAACTAATGAAATAATTTGTGCTTCGCTACGGTAGATAAATAAGATTTATACATATTTTAGCAGAAATAATAATCATTTTATGTAATTTTTATTGTTATCTAATATGCTCGATTCTACTTCAGTTTACTTGCTGATTGAAGATATTTTTGTCAGGGAAGCCCAAAAACATCCTGCATTTAATTTCATATATCAAAAAAGATTGGAAGCTAAAATTCACTTAGCATCTCGAAATCTACCAGTGATCAGACAACATCCTGGCAGCGAAATAAATGTATCACGTCCCCAATTTCTCCAAATTCCTGTGGCAAAGTGGGGCAAGCCAGCAGATAATGATGAAGGAAATTCATCTTCAAGTTCATAATTTTCAGGAAGTAACGATAATTTTGCACTTTTTACAGTTCCAAGAAAAGATACTGATGAAAGTGCCAGAGCCTGTATATATGTTGATGATGTTTCAAGTGATCTACAAATTGAATTCAATAATTACTCTCATGTTTGTTTGCTAGAAACGTAACAAGAATGAGACAAATAAATTTTGATTAAAAATTATTTGTCAAGCAAATTTATTTGCTGCAGTGGTCAAAAGTAATTTAGTTTTACATTCAGTAATGAATGAGATCCGAATTTTTGCAATCAAAAAATAAGAAAAATGAATTGTAATAAAAGTTTGATGCAAAAGTAAAATATATAATGGCCAGTTAACTTGGAAAAACTAACGGAGCCAATTTCTTCATTAATTCTTGCAGTGTTGTTTCGTAAATTAATGAAAATAATGCTTCAAAATAACAAGGCCTTAAATCATATGGAACGTCTTGAAGAGGTAAAAACAAAGTTCGAACTATAGAAGCTATTTCGCTCAGCGATGCACCACGTTTTTCAAGCCTTTTATGTATATAATCAGAAAGCCATAATCCATCACGTAGATTTTGGCAGATGGGATGACTGAGATCATTATGTGATCGAATATCATTCAAATACGGCATTAATCCTTAAATTGACAAACTTTTCCTTCAATTTTTGCAATATTTGCAAAATTTTCATTTAATATTAATTATTATTTACTCTCAATTTTTGAATAATTCAAGCAAAAATTTCCTCTTCATTTTTAATAAAGTTGTTAAAAAATCTATCTTGTAATCATTCATTTAAATTGATAATTTTTTGTTGATATTTCAGTAAAACATATCGCATAACTCCTTCAAATATTTATTTATATAAGTATTTACATAAGTAGAAAAAGTTTTTTGAATATGTATGGATTTCGATTTTGATTCCTTCAATTTCAGTTTTTAAGTAAAAAATAACAAAAGTGAAATTCGTTGTTGTTTGAAACTCCTCATTATTAAGTTATTTCAATAATTTACAAAACAACAGAGAAATTAAAAATTAATCTAATCAGTCTTTTTCTTTCTCAAATCTTAAAATTTTTAAAGAAAAAAATTGATGCATGGAGTTGTAACCTTGTAATCCACAATAATTCAACACTTTCCAATTAGGAATATGATATGCACCAGAGTTGTAGTCATCTTCGTCTTCCCCAGCACAACGGAAAAGTAACATATTGTACGATTGTAAAGTTAACTGTTTCAGTGCATTTACGAAAACTAAAAATGAATAAAGTGTTATTTAAATTCATTAAAAAATTCCATAACAATTTCAAAGCATGTTCTATTTAAACAATATAGCAGAAGCTAAATAAAGACTTTATCAAAGTGATAACAAAAGTCATCAGGTTGAAAGACTGAACAAATAATAATACAAGCCCATATCTCCCCCAACTAATGTAAAGCAGAAAGCGCACCTTTTTGTACAAAATCATTATTTCCTGACAAATAATCACGGATCAGCTTTATTGATTCTGTTGCTTTCTTGATAGGTGATACTCTGTTAAAAGTAAGTTTTGTTTTTTAAAACTTCAAGTGTAGTTTCGGTGTTAGTAAAAATAATTCAATTAAATGTAGAGAATTAAAAATCAGTGAAATAGTGTCCGGTGTTTTTCCTCCGTTACGAAGTAATTTTGAAAAAAATCAATTAATATCGAAATTTGTATTTTTGATCACTTATTCAGCTTATATTGTTTTTAATGATAAAATGGCTGATAAATATTTGTTGTCGATTATTTTAACCAAATTACGTAATGCGATAAGTCAGTTTACTTTTAAACATAATTGTTATATTATAATAGTTCCAATTACTTGATTACAATAACCGATCCAGACGGAAAGTGTTTGAGATGAAGTTTGCCACTAATCTCATATTGTTCAATGTCTGCTAACATGGAATCATTACTTTTCAAATGCTCTCGAACTTTAACCTTAGCTCCATTTACACCAGCAATTTTTTCATCATTTGCTGCAATTTAATTTCTTGCTCTTCATATTTAAATTAAGTGAAAAGTTTAAGAGTTTATCTTACAAAAGTGTAATATTACCTTTTTTTTCTACAGCACTGTAATGAAATTCGATCTCGAGAATAATTTCATCTAACACACCTGAAATTGAAAGTTGGTGAACCAAATTCTCAGACGTGATCAAAGCGAACTTTGATAAGAGATACTGTTAGCAAAAATTTAGCAAATATACAATAAATTCGATGAAAATTAATATGAAGTTCAAAGTCCGTGTCATCAATCGATGAAGACTAAAAGTTTAAGCAAAAGCTTTGCTGATAGTTAAAAATTAGCAAAGACAAAGGTAGAAATGCTAACCAGTAAACTGGAGATCTTCGACTGCAGGACAGTCGTGACAAATGGCATTATTCTTAAATGCTGTGTATGCAAGCATAATAACTTTTTCATGATTCACTGGATTGTGACGCGTGATTGCTACAATGTCAGGTGTTCGCTGATCAACGTAAATCTGCAGTTGTGAGTAGTCAATTTTTACTAGCCTTAATAATTAATTACTTTCTTCACAAACTGTAAGCTTTTTATGAATTACAACAAACAAGAATCACAACAACAGTACTATTGATAATTACTATTACTGTTATACCTGTGTGAAATTTTGTTCTGCTAGCCAGATATGTAGTTGATTCAAAGCTGAACGTGCAGGAATGATACCAGGAGATTGCTTTACCTCACTCCACGTCATGTATTGGCGTTTTTCGTCAACAACACTAATCTGAAGCACCGCTTACTTAATCGTTTACTCGAAGAAATTTATTATTAATAATATTTGTAAGCGCTGAAAGTGACTCGAAAATCGTAGTTTACTGGAAATTTGTAATTTTACTTGATAAGCAAAATATTTATCTTTGACTATGAGAAAAATTTCAAGGATGAAATTGATTTTTTCACATAACACAAAAAATTTTATAATTGCGTAGCTAATTTTGTGTCTTATATGTAACGGATAAATAATCACTTGATGGAGTAAACTGAAGACCATTAGCATCATTTTAAAATTCATGAATTCACTTATTGTTTTTCGAAGTATATCATTATGCTTTTGCGCAACGTTTACTTTATTGAAATATGAAATAAAATAATTTGTTAACATGAACTGTTAACACGCAGGTGACTGTAATTATTAACTAACTAACTTGATAAGGTACTAGTTCGTCGTATCCTCTGTTACTTCCAATGCTACAACTTGCCATCGCCAACATCGCTGCTGTTGGCAAGCAATCGTAAATAGAGCGTTTCTAAAAAAAAAATTTTCCCATAAAAAGTTTAATTTAATTTTTTAAACAAAAAGCTAAGATCTAGGTATTGTGGAAAGATATCGTGTTAATTTTTGTTATAATAAAGCATGTTTGTACTGAGTACTCTATTTAATCCAATATGATTAAGTATCATTTAGATATGTGAAAAGCTGAAAGCTAAACATAATCGGAAATTTTAAAATATCATGACTAATTAAGTTCAGAAAAAGAAAATAAACAAGCAAAGTATTCAGTTTTTTAACAAATTACTCTATTAAAAATTACTTATGTTAACTTGATACAATTTTATTTAATTTATTATGGTTTAGCAAAATCAGATTTGATTTCATGACTAAAATTATGCCCTGTTCAATAGCTTAAGTTTGTAATAAATTAGAAATGAAATATTAAAAAGATATTCACATTTAAACAGCATTCAAAGAAAGCAATTCAGTGGTAAATGCATTTCACTTTTTCGATTTAAGATTTTGACAGTTTCTGTGAAAACATACAGTGGAAATTAATTTTAATAGAAACTTGAATAGCTGATGGGTTGTCATGAGTTTGATCGAATAATAATGCGGGTGCAACAGAAGAAACCGCATCTTGAACAGGTTTTTGAATGAACCCACCGAATACATCTCCTCCAAAGCGGTATATCAAACGACCTTGTTCATAACTTATTGGAGCACTTTGAGCTTCTGGAAGTTTGTTTATAGTAACAAAAGTTTCAAACCACGCAATGCAAAATTTATCATGCATAATCTTCACCTCGTATCAACGATGTTATTCCAAGTCGATTGACAAAAATATTATCAATTTCTTCATTTTGGGTAAACAATTCTGCTGTGACGTAAAGATCAGGTCGAATTTCACGAGCAGCTTTCAAAAGATACTTAAAATTCAAATTGATGATTAACACAATAATTTCCGAAATTAAGTATAAAAATCGAAACTAAAATTTTTTTTTAGTAGAATAGTCTCACTTCAGCAACGTGTATTGGCGTACTGTGACAATTATCTATGCGTAAACCATGGAAGATTTTCGCGCATTGTTGTCTAAAACATGGAAAATTGCCTGATTTCAGCACAATAAAAACAAACGTTTTTAATACGTTTTGAATGATTTTGAAAGCTGAAAGAACATGAAAATCTCATAGAACAGTTAAAATTTTGTGCATAATTGAACGATAACAAATAAATGTACAATGTGATTGCTCATCTCTGTGTATTTAAAATTAATTTGATGCAAAATTTTAATTTCATTTTTTGTTGAAGGAAATGAGCGAAAAAGGAATCACTTCAATCATTATTTATTTCAAAGAAAATACAAATTCTAAATAAAACGAAATAAAATGCTTACGTGTAGCTTTTCATTAAATCCCATAAATATGGACAATCGTTAGGTTTTTCACCATAATTAAGCTTAACGGAATCCCCCCAACACACTAAATGTCGCATTAGATAAACCTATAATGCAGACAGATTTTTTTTTTTTGCAATATTTTCGAAGACAAAATGCAGAATATCAGTTGATAATAAATACATTTAATCAAGGATAGCTTATAATCACTTTTGAATGATTTTAATAAACATGATCTGAATTAATTTTTGATAATTTGGTTGTCTTATTCTAATGCATATACTTAATATGATTAGGATTAATTTTGCCTTAAGGAGATTCATATTTTAATTACTATATAACGCTGAATGACGTTTATCATCACAAAGTAATTCTGACCATATAACTTACAATTTAATGATTTAATATGATTATGACCAATTCTTTATTGCAATAAAAATAAAAGTTATTATTTACCGAAAAATCTTGTTAAAAATTGAAATGTTGTGTTTTAGTTAAAACAGTACTAATTTGCCTGTGAGGGGTAATGCGCAAAATTGTGAAGTGGATTATCGTTAATCACCCAACCATTACACGCCATTATTTTTTCCGCTGTTACATCATTATACGATAATTTTTCTTCATCTTGCCATGAAGTCGATGGAAAAAGTTGCACAAAATATCTAAAACTATCATCCAGAGTGGCAAAGATAGTATCAATTGTTAAAATATATTAACAGCTGAAGAGCTAACTTGAAATAATTATTTCATTTAAAATCTTCACACTTTTCTAAGCTGCGTTCCATCTAATGTTATGCTAATGAAATGAATCACAAGTATGAATTCAGCATCATAAAAACAAATTATTGATGTTTGTTTTAAGTAAAAAATTTTTCGACCAATAAAGCTAAAAAATTAATAAAGCAATAAAATCATGCTAACTGAGTAAGAAGAGGAGAATCTGAAGTTAATTTGGGTCGACGTAGACCATACCAGTCAATTCTTTCATACCGAACATGCCCAGCTACTGCATTAATGATATTTTCTTGAATTTCTGCAGCAGTTTCAAATGCTTTATTGTTTAGAAAGTATAGATGAGACCGAAATGCCTCTATACATTTGCATCGTCGATTTAGCTCGTCATCACCGACATCATTTCTTCAATAATTTACCAGTTCATAAAATAAATCTTTATTTTCAGTGAATTAAAGCATTTTTAGTCACATTTAGCAGAAATTGAGTAATTAACATTTTATACTCGAATTTTACCACTAATTGACTGAAAAAAGATTTCGGTTTCTCTTACTTTTTGCTTTCAAAAACTTATATAAATTGAAACTTGTCTCAGGCAAAAAATTTTTGGTGCCTTTTTATGTTAAAAATCTTGTTTGCGAGTTCCATGTCGACAAGAAAGCCATAACGATTCCAGTATGGTCCTGGTTTTGATTCCAACTTATCGTCCAGTACCTCAGTACATGGTCCCTCTGAACATTACTCATTTTGTTTAACCATCGAGTAATCAAATTACATTGTTGTATAAAAATATTTGAATTCAACTGTTGCCAAGTTTTACTTAAAATAAATTTCACTACTGCTATATAACTATGTCTTAAATTTCTGTAAGGTTCAATAAAAATCAGTAAAATTATTTGGATCCTTGATTTCATCTTTCCCTCCATTGATAGCTTTATAGAACTACTGATTTATGTGCTTTTTATTTTGTAGACTCTAATAGATCCCAATTTAAAAAAAATTATTGAAGTTTTATGGATTCATACCTTTTACGAATTCGTCGAATTTTGCTACCAATTCATCGACATCAACTTGAAAAAATTCATGCAAGCGCAATTGTGGTAGTATTTCATTTTTTAGAACATCAATTAGAATCTAAAATATCAAAGGAGTACATCACTTATGCATTAGCTCAAAATAAATGACTATAAAAATTTTGTTAATTTTCTGCTGAAATTCAGCAAATATAAGCCAGAATTCCATTATTTTTCTCTACATATCATTGAACTCCCACAACCTGAAGTAGGACTCAAAAAAACAATTATCAAAAATTACTGTAAATTCAGAAAATTGTTCTGAACATATGTTTTTGATTCTTAAATGCACTTTGATTGATATTAATTAAATATTAACATGAGTTTACCCTTAAATGCTCGTCATTATTAATATCAGAAGTAAGATTTTTGTGTTTATACTTTCCTTCCATGATGTCATTTCCAAAGTGGTAAAGGAGACGATCCAGAACGTAAGCTGGCCTCAGATGTGGACTATTTTTCAAGTTGTAAGCACACTCTGGATGTTCCTAAAGGACTACTGCCATTGAACAGTGTGATATAACTAGAAAATTAACCTTGAGAAAAAAAAACATCCTAAAAACCACTAATTTTTACAAAGAAATAAGTTACAAAAGTAAGCTCACTTCAAGCCATAAAGCATTTCGAGCTGCATGATTCCACACAACATCTTGTATTGACAATAAATTGTATTCCGTCTCCAGTTCTTTAATTAATACTGCCAATTCATCGTATGTAAATTGCTTTTCCTGTTTAAAGGCTTTCTCTTACAACAGTGAGTTACAAGCTAAGAAAATTTATTACAAACATATTGGATGCATTCTATTCATAGACAACAGAAAAATTTTTTTCTGATCCATTCTATGGAACTGTTCTAATGACGATTAATGCTAAAATGTTATAAAGTAAATACTATTCCGAATACTTTAAACAAAACTCACTACAGTATTGAAATTTGGGTTTAATTTTCTTGGATCGGCAATACTGTAGCTGAAATAGCAGAAGTAAATAAATGATTCTCTTTAGATGAAAAAGTTCAAAAATAATAAATATTATGCACTGATATACTACGATTTTTTTTCAAGACACTTTAGTACTTTGTAACTTGTTTCCTTTTTCTTATCTTACAAAACTTATAAAATAACGATTAATTTTAGCTGGTATAAGTTTTTTAACAAGCATCAATATCAAACTGAAAAATAGAGAAATGGTATTTGAAACTGAAATAAACTGCAGAAGAAAGAGTGGTGAGAAGTAAAATGAAGAAAGTAAAACCAGCAGTACCTGCTATTTGAGACTCCAAGCAATTGCACTGGAGTGAAGTGTATCATATTGTAACCTGCTTTAGCTGCTACTTTCAGTACTTCTTTCCATGTATCAAAAGAGCCAAGAAGTTTGGAAAGATGAGTAATACAAGTGACTGCATTCAGAAGTAGCGGTTTCTTATTCAATGTTAAATTAGGCATCACGAGAAGGTAACCACTGCCAGCTGGTTTACTTCAATTAGTATTTTTATTAATTTGCATAAAACACTTTTCACTGCAATAGAAAACTGAAAAAAATAATAGGCACATTTTGCGCACCTTTCATTGTCTACAGTAAATTGATACGAGAAAGCACCAGACTGTTCACATTTCACTTCTGCATACGCTGCAAATTCGTCTGTTTCCTTTTGCCAAGTAATTCTACCAGAAATTGTTGTACTAATATCAACCTTTCGTCCAAGAAGGCTCGCACCACGAAAGAATCGAACTCTCCAACCTCAAATTGCTTTATTAAGCATAAATATTTGCTTATTTTTACAAATAATTATTACTTTGCAGTATTATCCAAAGAGATTTTACATTATCTATCTTTTGCAAACCTCAAACGACTCAAATAATTTAAACAAACATTTCATCTGAAAATAAGCTATAGTTTTGACAGTAAAAAAAACCTTTCTGAAGACGAAATACTGATTTTTCGAGATTTTCACCATAATTAAGAATGATTATGCGTATCTCTGGTCTCGATTGATTTTGCATGGTTAGCTTCAACAGAAAAAAGTTTCATTTATATAATAATTTTCCTTCTCTAGTGTTAAGGCTACATGATGATATGTAATGCATAATTTCTCATACTGACTGACTGTAAACTGAAAGTTACTGTAAATCAGAACTCGTGAAATAAACATATAGGCAAGAGTTACTTGAAGAAAATCAAAATTTCAAACTAGAAAGTAATAATGAATGTGAAAGCAATGATCATTTCTTATTTCATAAAAGAACATTTGATGAGTTTTGCACTACATAACGAAGTCACAATATAATTTCGAGTCCAAAGCACGCAAAAAATTCTATTTGATTTACAGTCATTCTGTCATAATTTTGTGAAAACTCTTAGCAACGAGACGTAAATGAGAGACAAGAAATATAATAAAATATTTTGAAAAAGTTCGTTCCAAAAATGAGGAATTAATTAAGCAGTACTAGCATTTGGCGTTTGAATGAGGTAATTCTGACTGTTTACTCAAAAAAAAAACAAACAAACTCACAATTTAAAAACGACGCGAAAGATCAAAATTGATGAAAAGTACGTCAGTAATTATAAAATTCAAAAAATATCAGACATGTCGTTACAAGCAGCAAATATATTATATAATATCATCTTTTTTTCACCATTCCAGTAATTTATATTTGCTCGCAGAAATCAAAAACTAATGCAAAGAACAGCAACACGTAGGTTCAAATTTCAAAGTTAGCAACAACTGATCGAATTGATCATCACTCACCTTTCGTTAATTGATTACTGCATGTGCTTCTTTTCCTTGCCTACAATGTTTGTTTTCGAAAAACTTTTTGTTTGAGTTAGCAAATGGTTGCTTACAAGTAAGACTGAGATAAAAAGCATTCACATCTCCACTTCCATGCAGTACTCAATTTCTATTTCATGCAGTCAGTTCAATTTCTTTTTTCAACTATTGCAATCAGATTTTAATAATAAGCTTCACTCCGTTCCATAATTTTTATTCATTTATTTATTATATTATTAATTTGTTACACGCAATAAATTTAGTGCGTTGCAAACTGCGGTTAAAGCCAATTTTTTGAAATGTTTTAATTGAAAGCAAAATTAAGAGTCATAACGTTAGGGAAGTTATTTGATACTCAATGAACCTCTGCAAATATTTAAGTAACTAAGTCATTAAGGATAACGATGAATACTAAAGAAATTTAAAATTTGCAGTATAAAAAAATTGTCGTAATGAGTAAATAAAAATAATAAATATTATTTTTTTTACTTGCACAATTGTTCATTGCGTCAGTCATATTAAATGTGAGCCATGCAATCACAAAATAATAAGTAGACAAAAGCATCAACTCTTTTATTTCCTTACTCTCACCTTATGATGATCACGTTCTGTTTTTTGTTCACTTAATTCACTGCTGATGATTCTAGCTTTCTTCTCGCCTACATCACTTGTTTCCTTAACAAATATCAGCATATCAAACATTACTATAAGCAATTAATGGAATTTGGATCATTTTCATTATATTTCTGACCTCAGGAAATATTTAAAAGTATTATCTAACATTCATTAAATTTTAATTTCAAAGAACAAAAATTAACACTTGCAATTTTTTCAGCGAAATTTTATTCTTAAAACAAAAGTTAGTTAGTGACTATACTTTGTTTTTAATATATGACCATCGTTTAATTTTTACATTTGCAATTTTCGAAATAGAAATATATTTTCACAATCAGCTCTAAGTAGAGATCAAATGCTTGACAAACTGATATTATACAAATCGACAGAATAAATGTCAGTACCAAACATCTTTAGATAGATTAAATTGAATATTGTCTTACCAGATTCCTCGTAATGGTCAAAATTTTAAATGGCATTTTAAAATTCACTGATAGCAATAATTAATTCTACTGCTCTGGCTGTCAAATATCGTATTGTATATATTCTGTACCTGTAAATATTCACTAAGAAATTGAACGTGTAAGTTCTTTACTTTCATGCAACAACAGTTTCATGTCTAAAAAAGTGATCGCGGAATTCGCAATTTGTAAGTCGCTTCCACACAACCAAAATCTAATCATTTTTCATAATTCAACATATCTATTAGAATATATATATATTTATTTATAATGGTTTCATTCCTCCTAATCCAAAACTAAAATGCAAATATAACTAATAATTTGCACTGTAAATTTCTTTTCAAAATCGAATTTCGGAATATATATATATATATATATATTTTTTTTCGGATATATATCCAAAAAAAAGGTATCCATCGCGGAAATGATTATGTAAACAAAAAGTAAGTAGATTTCTGGTTTTCAAAGCAACAAAATCACTAAACATATGTCATTTTACACAATTAAAAAACTTAAAATTCCTTTAGCAAAGTAAGGGCACTGCAAATTCCATCACATCAAGACCTCCTTGCATTATTACTGCTGTTATTTACTTTTGCATCTGTTAACAAAATATATTGGAATTGTGGACGACTCTTGTGAAATTAAATAACATTTTTCGTTGAAAACTGTTGTTTTATGCTGTAAGTTTTCACTGAAATTTCATCTCCGTTGTATTTTTCTGTAAAAAAGTCTAGCAGAAAAGTGTGTGCTAAAAATGCATTGATACACAATAACCACGAGTGATGACATGATTTCAGTCGAGAAATCGTTTTATTTGTCAAAAGTATTTAGGTCATTACGTTTGCTTACACAAATATAATCTTGATTAGTTCTTGAACTGGTACTCGACTGAATTTATTACTGATAATATATTCAGCGCCAACATCATTAGATAAAAATGATTTTATAAATCCATTAGCAAGCAGATTTCTAAAACTACATTTTGACGTACTTCTTTACAAGCAATAAATTTTTAGCATAATATATGTAAAACATTCACTTTCGGAGCAAATTTGCTTACATCGCAGTGCAATCAAGGGTCGCGGACAAAATGCATATTACCTGTTCTCAAACGGCAAAAAATATATTTCCGTAGTAATGAAGTTTGCAAGCGTTGTGCCTAAAAAATGTACTTTAATCGCAATGACCTTTGTCACTTCATGACAAAAAACCTACAATACTGAAAGATATTTAACGATGTCTGCAAATTTCTTTGAAAAAAAGAACTATGATAGTATTGAGCAAATTAAAGAAATAGAATGAAATTCCTGAGTGAATTCTTGAACAGCTGTCGGAAACATCGCACATTCATTTCCAATTTTAACCCAGGGAATGTCAATAACAAATTCATTAATACCATATCACTAAGACATCACAGCAAACTTCATAATCATTCGTCATTCACACGAACTTATTTCTCAGATCCCAACTTTTTAAACAACGAAAGATTTCAAAAATTAGATAAAAATAAAAAATTTTTAATAATGTGATCCATGAGAGAAAAAACAATGTTACATGTAAAATTTAAATTACGAACAATTATTTGTGAGATTACCACAGTTTCCAATTTGATATTCGTGAAAACTTTATGACTATCGTTCACCATCAGAAATGACCAATGCTTGAGAAAATTTTATGAATAAGAAATGTGAAATGTCTGAACAAGATGCAGTTAGCAAGAGGAGAAAAAATAAAATTACGTGAAACCTTG